GAAGTGTCACTGTAGGCTTTCAGAGCAAGGCGCTGGAAATAGTTTTCCTGATGATGGTGTTCTCCGGGCATTAGCTAGTGACAATTCGCCGAATTGCAATGGGGGACGAAAAAATGTCTCGAAAGGCACAATGGCAGTGCAGCGCTTGCCTCCCCCCGCTTTCACACGATTAGGCGTAGACTATCCAATACCTACTCTCAATGGAGCACCCATAGAATCCAGATCTGAAGAGGAAGGCAAAGACTTGGCAGTATGCAATACTCGAGGAGTGGTTGCGCCTGCGACCCTCGGTCCACCACGAGTACTCGTACAATGCGTAGCACTCGCCGCCAAAAAGCAACTCTACCCGGATTTAGCTGCGCGCGAATTTGAAAATTGTTACTTGCATGAGCACCGTGCATAGGGTGGCCGAATTTATGTGGGGCAGGGTGCGGTACTGTGCTCGTAAAGGGATATGCGGTACCGTACTCTAAAGGTGATATGCGATCGTACCAGTAGCGAGCTGCTGATATGGTGGGTCAGAGATAATTAAAAGTTGTGCGCGGGCTTAGACTAGCTGAACTGCAGGATTTCAAGCCGGCGTTTTTGTCCACTCAAGAGAAGGGTAGTCTTCGCGCTCCCCAACCCTTCTGGTTATTCAATCCTTCCTTTGCTGTAAATCATCGATACGAGTATCAAGGAACACATTCGGTCCCTACGTCGGCAAAAAACAGAACTTCTTGCAATTCAACAATCTATCGATAGGATGGGCAATTGGCTATCAAACAATTTTTCTGAGGGCCAATCCTCAACACTACAGTAGGCTACTAGAGTACCGCTTGTGTTTATTTGAGCTTCTGTCCGCTGATACCGGCTGCAGCAACACTCTGGGCAACTTTAGCGGCAACGGCGGTTCTGGTAATCATCTCAACTCCAATAACACCACCAACACCACCATCAACCACAACTACAGCGGCACCAGCTCGCCCTCGAAGCAGACCGAAATTTTGCGATGCTTATACAAGTCTGCGTACGAGTCGCACCGACGTCGGGTCCGCGAGCCGGTTGAGGGAACGTGCACATGGGTTACGGAACATCTAAAGTATAGGGAGTGGATGGCGAAAGAAGCGGCTGCTCTCCTCTGGCTATCGGCGGACCCGGGTTGCGGAAAATCTGTCATGGCTTCGTTCCTCGTGGGTCATCTGAAAGCGCAAACCAGTTCCATCGTTTGCTACTTCTTCTTTAAGGACGATAGCGAAGAACAGAGGAGCGTGACATTCGCCCTTTGCACCATACTTCATCAGCTTTTCTCGGAGAGAAGGTCCCTCTGTACATATGCCGAGGCAGCATTAGAGGCCAGAGGCGAGAGGTTCACGGAGGAGGTGGATACATTGTGGGATATTTTGGTGAAGGCGGTGGCTGAGGGGGGGTGTGGCGATGTGATTTGTGTGGTTGATGCCCTGGACGAGTGCGACGAAGTGACTCTCACTCCACTTGTCCAATACGTGAACCGTCTCCCGGGACAACAAACGTCCAACACACCTTTGAAATTCCTTCTGACTAGCCGGCCGTACCATAACATCGAGAAAGAACTTGGCTCCCGGGCAACAACGATACGGCTTAGAGGTGAGGGGGAAGTTGGCGCTATTACCGCTGACGTTACCCGTGTTATAGATAATGGGATAAGGGAGCTCGAGTTAATTTGGGAAAATCCGGGAGGACTGAACTATTTGCGCGATCTCCTCCTGTTGGCCGCCGACCGGACATTCCTTTGGGTTTCTCTTGTTTTAGAGGGTTTGAAAGATAGTCAAGATGGCTCGGCAGAGGAGTTTACTAACATTATCTCGACAACTCCGCGCGATCTAGCAGAATTTTACACCAAGATCCTGGATAAAAGCCCAGACCCCGGCAAAGCTCGGCGGATCCTGCAGATAGTGGTAGCAGCCGCAAGACCGCTTACAACCGCGGAAATGAATGTTGCAGTTCGGATCACACGGGATCACAAATCAGTGAGGGAGCTCTCAGGCGCTGTGTGCGGTGGGTTTGAGAAGACAGTGAAAAAGTTCTGTGGGCTTTTCATACGGGTCATCGATTCGAAGATTTACCTCGTTCACCAGACCGCGAGGGAGTTCCTAATTAAGGGATCTTTGCTGGGCAAGGGTAACTGGCAATACACACTGTGCCTCAAGGATTCTAACTTCACAGTTGCTGACATTTGTATTTCCTACCTTTCGAGAGAGGAGTTTATGGGCAGCCCATTAGAGATAGACATTATGGGCTATGTTTCACCGAAGGCGGTTAATGAGTATTTCAAGAAATTCGTTTTTCTTGATTACTCGGTTCGACACTGGGCAGATCACGTGCGTGATTCGCAGGACAAGGGGATTGAGTTATTCGAATTCGCGCGCCTGATTTGTGAACCTGGATCTAAACGCTGCCTGGCATGGTTTCAGATATACTGGTTCAATACTTGGGAAGGGGGGAGGATATTCCTGGAAGATTTCACATATTTAATGATAGCTTCATTCCTGGGGCTGGGAACGGTAGTTGATCGACTATTGGAGGAGGAAGGGGATATCAATGCTCGATCCGAAGTATATGGCACCGCGCTAAAAATAGCAGCTCTCCGAGGGGACAAGGGCATGACCAGAAAGCTACTGCGGAAGAACGTGAATGCCTATCTGTGGGGGAAGGAGTATAACATTTTGGAGGTAAAGAAACGTCAACGTTTGTAGTGACTAGTGCGTAACTAACAATAAATTAACATTGTCTTACAGACGGTGGGTGAATTCGCAGCAATCAGAGGGCCTTAGAGCTGATTAGACACTGGATTTGCGTTACAGAAGGCAAGTAACGGCCCGGGTCATATATCCTATAGGTTGTCGTGGTACTAACAGGAGGGGCTTGAAAATGGTAGAAAGTGAGTGAAGTGCTTAGGAATGTAGGGAACAATGATAGCTAACTCGAGTAATGCATGAGCATAGACCGTAAGTCAACATTTCCAATACCAGTGGATGCGAGAATAAGGTTTCCTAATTTTAATGGGGAGATAGGAGGTAGGGAACTCCGTAAATAACATCGGGGGCAAATGTGACAACTAATTACAAAGCCGGGGGTGCTATAGCTTGTACGTTACTGGATCATATCAATTAAGGCGACGAGGCAAATACTAACCTCTAACTCGTGGGTGGTCGCAGGAGGTGGGTTAACAAGATCAGCCACCGGTGGGGGGAGCGGCAATGGCTGACCTCTGGCTCGCTTCGTGTTGTAGTTGGTAAGTGAACAGGATCTACCACTGTTCTGGAACGAGGCAATTGCTGACCTCTGGCTCGCTTCGTGTTGTAGAACGTAAGTGGACAGGATCAACCGCTGTTCTGGGACGAGGCAATTGCTGACCTCTGGCTCGCCTCGTGTTGTAGTTGGTATGTGAACGGGATCTATCACGGCTCTGGAACGAGGCAATTGCTGAACTCTGTCTCGCTTCGTGTTGTAGTTGGTAAGTGAACAGGATCTACCACGGTTCTGGAATGATGCGATTGCTGACCTCTGGCTCGCTTCATGTTGTAGTCCGTAAGTGAACAGGATCAACCACTGTTCTCGGACGAGGCAATTGCTCACCTCTGGCTCGCTTCGTGTTGTAGTGGGTAAGTGAACAGGATCTACCGCGATTCTGTGACGAGGCAATTGCTGACCTCTGGCTCGCTTCATGTTGTAGAATGTAAGTGAACAGGATCAACCATTGTTCTTGGCCGAGGCAATTGCTGACCTCTGGCTCGCTTCATGTTGTAGAATGTAAGTGAACAGGATCAACCACTGTTCTTGGCCGAGGCAATTGCTGACCTCTGGCTCGCTTCATGTTGTAGAATGTAAGTGAACAGGATCAACCACTGTTCTTGGCCGAGGCAATTGCTGACCTCTGGCTCGCTTCATGTTGTAGAATGTAAGTGAACAGGATCAACCATTGTTCTTGGCCGAGGCAATTGCTGACCTCTGGCTCGCTTCGTGTTGTAGCCAGTAAGTGAACAGGATCTACCACTGTTCTGGAACGAGGCAATTGCTGACCTCTGGCTCGCTTCGTGTTGTAGAATGTAAGTGAACAGGATCTACCACTGTTCTGTGACGAGGCATTTGCTGACCTCTGGCTCGCTTCATGTTGTAGAATGTAAGTGAACAGGATCAACCACTGTTCTTGGCCGAGGCAATTGCTGACTTCTGGCTCACTTCATGTTGTAGGTTGTAAGTGAACAGGATCTACCACTGTTCTGTGACGAGGCATTTGCTGACCTCTGGCTCGCTTCATGTTGTAGAATGTAAGTGAACAGGATCAACCACTGTTCTTGGCCGAGGCAATTGCTGACCTCTGGCTCGCTTCATGTTGTAGGTTGTAAGTGAACAGGATCAACCACTGTTCTTGGCCGAGGCAATTGCTGACCTCTGGCTCGCCTCGTGTTGTAGGAGGTAAGTGAACAGGATCTACCACTGTTCTGGGACGAGGCAATTGCTGACCTCTGGCTCGCTTCGTGTTGTAGAACGTAAGTGGACAGGATCAACCGCTGTTCTGGGACGAGGCAATTGCTGACCTCTGGCTCGCCTCGTGTTGTAGTTGGTATGTGAACGGGATCTATCACGGCTCTGGAACGAGGCAATTGCTGAACTCTGTCTCGCTTCGTGTTGTAGTGGGTAAGTGAACAGGATCTACCGCGATTCTGGGACGAGGCAATTGCTGACCTCTGGCTCGCTTCGTGTTGTAGAATGTAAGTCAACAGGATATATCACGGCTCTGGAACGATGCGACTGCTGAACTCTGTCTCGCTTCGTGTTGTAGTGGGTAAGTGAACAGGATCTACCGCGATTCTGGGACGAAGCAACTGCTGACCCCTGGCTCGTCTCGTGTTGTAGTATGTAAGCCAATCCGCTAATCAAGGTTTTCGGACTAGGCAATTTCTAATACCTGGCTTCTCACTTTCCTTAGGCTGTAAGAGGAACTGCACACCTCTGTACTTTGTTCCTACTTTACTAATATGTATTTCCCGTCGCCACAGGCCGTATGTGACCGACAACTCCCAATATCTCCCGTCAAGCTACTAATTTCACACTTCACGCTTCCTTTTTATAACAGAATGTAAGCACTACGAATTCCCACATCTTACCTCTTCACAATGCTAACAAAGACACTCCTTGTACGTCTTAGTTTGTATGCAAAGATTCATCCCCCCCTGCTAGCCATCACTAATAATAATTATCTGGAATTTTGTTACAGCTCGTTCGTATATCCCTTCTTCCCTCTTTCGGCTTCCCACTAACACATAGTGTACCTCAAAATCATTTGGGCAACATAGATGGTGGGTGATACCAATTGACTACTACTGACCCAGTTGGCATCGCATATCTATTAACCTTTCTTCTAGGATGTGAGTTTTTTTCGTCTACTATTATCCCCCCTTATTTCAGTTTATTATTCACCCTGCTCCAGTTTTGCCTCCCGGACACACCAGATCCGCACACGTTGCCCGACCAGGCTGCGGCCTCCGCGCGGCCAATTCACAATCTAGAGAGGGGTGGGTATTAAGTCTTGTTTCAATGAACATTTAAATGCCTCCTTGCTTACTATATAATAGATTAACTTTCTTCGATGAGTTGTTCGTTCTAGCCTTGTTGGTTTTTCAATACGTTTACTTTTTTGCGGCCATGACACCTTTTTGTGCATCCTGTGCTGCTTTCTATGGTTCGTATTTGCTTCAGTGAGATGTTATGTGTTTCAAGATATAAGGCTTTGTGGGAGTCGGCTGTGGGTTGTTCTTGGTGCTTCTGTCTTATCTTTTTATCTTTTTATGTTGTTATGTACCGTAATGTATCTGTACGGCGGGGAAGAAATATGGCTATTCTAGAGACTTAGTCGGTTCTGATGCACTACTTCCTTCTGCTCTATCCCCTCCTCTCTGCAACAATGAAACATAGCCGCGCTAAGGCTCCTACTAAAACTATTGTCCGGGGACAAAATTAACTAGCTGTCAACGGCCGGAAAATCTTCGGTGATGACAACCACACTCCCCCACCAACCCACTATCATGAAAACCCAAAAGAAAATTAAAAAATATAAATACATAGTAGAAATTAATATTTAGTATACCATCCATCAACCTTAATAATTGTTTCCACCCTATCCACCATTGATCCTGCCAAAGTATCAAAAACCTTTGGGTCCAGAAGTTCCCAACAATGAGTGACAACCTCCTCTATAATTTTTTTGATCTCATTGACAGGGCCCTTCAGGAGAAATAGCTCAGGATAGTGCTTATGAAGCTTGTCTTTCACCAGAGACCAAACATTTTCAATTGGATTGAGGTCTGGTGAATAGGGAGGAATTTCCATCAGAGAAATTCCATTTCTCCTGAGCCATCTCCTGAAAGGCAAGTGAGTCTTAGCATTGTCAATGATCAAAAATACCTCTTCCTCCCCAACATGCTCCTTGATATCCTCCCATATCCCTGGAAAGTAATATTGATCATAAACATCAATAATTGACTTTCCAGTCACTCCACCTCCAGCAGAAGTAGGATCAGGAAAAACAGGTAAAAGAAGACCATGAGTTTGACCATAAAAACAACCAGTCATCATCTGACTAATCTTTCTCTCTCCTTTCCTAGCAGTAGGTTCAACACAATCCTTATTCCACTCTTCTTTTGGACATCTAAATACCCATTTTCTTCTCTTTCGGTTGGTGGTGGGGTCCAACAGTGGTGAATACCGTCTGGAGGAAGTGCTATGGATGGGATAGGGGGCGAAGCCCCCTCCTCCGTCACATTCCCCTAGAGAGTAACATATTTAAGAGCGATACAATTTATCAATTACATTAAAGAACACGCAATTCCCATTCATCCATTCCGCATCGGCCCAGTTCGCTAAGCGAGGGTCATGATTAAAGCAACCTATAACCGGGCGACCGTGAACTATCTGAGTTTTCCGACAGTACTTGTCCGTACTGGTGAACTCAGCCTGTGAACCAAACCAACATTTAAATACATCCATACGCGTAAATTCCACATCATCGAAAACCACATACTTGTAAATCTCGTGATATAAGGAAGATTAAAGAAACCCGAAAAGAAAATATGAGATCCTAAACTCCACGCCCATTCGGTCTTACCAGTCCTTGTAGGACCGTACAAGATCAAGGCCAAAGGTTGTAAACCAAGGATACCCCTACACGAATCATCGCGATACAATGAAAGGAAACTATTACACCAAACCACTAAATCCGAAGGCAAATCCCAACTCTCAACAGGATAAGGAGATCTATATACATTTTCTACGGTCGGATAATATTTCTCTGCTACCAGGTGAACGTTATTATAGCTACTGAGATAAAGTCTCAGAGCCATGCTACGGACGTTCACGAGAAACTGTTTTTTTCATCCCTGTCAGCCTTTGGTTTCCGGGACATGTATATCCTCCCCCAATGATTCTAATCTAAATGAACGACAACGAGGAATATACAAGGTCTTTCTGTATCGACTGCCTGTTCGGGGGGCTGGTGAGGGGGTTTACTCACTTGATCCTTAGTTTCTGCAGCGAAATATCCAAGCAACGCATCTCTATCCTTAGATTTTCCTGTACTGGGTCCCCCACATTCTTCCCTCTCGAAATCCTGTACGAGCACCCGTCCTTCCTTCCGGCAATAATCTCACACTTTTTCAGGAGTTCGGTAAACCGTTTGGAGGTTGGGATGTTAAATGCGGCCCCCGAATTCCACGTTGAGGCATCGCATGTTTGTGGTTTCAAACCGTTTTCCGTCCATTCGACGGACGAGAGCGTGGTAATGAATTCCTCCATCTGCGTGACATTCCTGTCCAAGTACGAGGTGAAGACTACGTTGTCTGTAAGCGTTGATAATCGGTTCAGGCAGGAGATCGTCACAACGGGGGTACGTGACCAGCAGGTATTTTGTACAGATTCTTCCGCGAGGAACGGGTCGGATAATTGTTCCGAGGTCAGGTGTTGCCACCAGCTGGGAACTCAGTTCGGGTTGCGGGGTGGGCGACCAATCAATTAGAGTTGAGGTGGTGACGATGGTATCGGGGTCCCATCTATCATGTTGAGGAGTACTTTCACGGCTTCGCCATCCGCCTTCCGTTTCTTCCATTGGGTCGGTGTCGGTATTGGCGAAGGTTTGTGTTCGAGGAGAGGTAGTTTGCTCATCTCGCTCGGTGTGTTGGGATCGGTCGAAGCGCATACAGAACATTCGCTATTAATCGCAACAGGAGGAGGAGGAGTCTCAGGAAGTATTGGGGAAGCATGAAGAGAGAGGTTTTGTGTTTTATCAATGGGGGTCATGGTGGTGGTGGTTCGATTGTTGGACTGAATCCTTCGCAACGGTGGAAACGTGTCCCATTATATCCTAAGCAAGGTACGTACCACTCCCAATGGTTGTCACGTGCTCCTACTCTGACTATTTAATATTATAGGCGGAGTGGGAGTGGTGGGACTCTACGCCAAGGTTTCCTCTTTTGGTTGTTTGGTTGTTGTGACAGGGGTCTGTGTGCGCGTTTGCATTATAAATATTCACCACTCCCACTCTTCCCTGTTTTTATTTTTTCTTTCGCGCACACACACACACACACACCTATGAGTTAACAAGACGACGAGTCATATCAAACGTCACAGAGTGAATCGGCCCCATCTGTCAGTGAGTCATACCTACGTCAACATCGTCCGGAGGTCTATCATACGCTCGAGGACATTCCATCAGATTCCGAATCGGAGGAGGGTATTAGGTATTATCAACGTCGTTATTACGGTATCCATCGTCGTCGTTACCCTTTTCGTCGTTGGTACTATAGTCACTATTAGAAAAAGATGCCGTCCGGGCGTTTCTGTAACGTGTTCGCAAGGTGCTAATCACATTATCGGTAATAGATACGATAGCTGGCAGGTGGCCTGCTCTTCCAGAGAGGAGGCGAGAGCTGAGAACTAAGGGAGGCTTCGAGAGTGTACTGAGGAACAAAGAAGTAACCGTTCAACCAAGTATATTGAAATACTGTCTGTCGAAGTCTGCTCTTTCTATCGTAGAGACAGGCGGTCTTTAAATACACAAATCTGTTCATGTCTTAACATGAACGAAACTAATCAAAGGTATCACTCGATACACTTTGGTAAAACTCTTTAAGTGTCAAAGCGACACTTGAAACAAAACATAAAACAAAACTAAGTATCAAACGATACTTAAAACAAACCAAGTATCAAAGCGATACTTAAAACAAAACATAAAACAAAACCAAGTATCAAACGATACTTAAAACAAACCAAGTATCAAAGCGATACTTAAAACAAAACAGAAAACAAAACCAAGTATCAAACGATACTTAAAACAAACCAAGTATCAAAGCGATACTTAAAACAAAACATAAAACAAAACCAAGTATCAAACGATACTTAAAACAAACCAAGTATCAAAGCGATACTTAAAACAAACCATAAAACAAAATCAAGTATCAAACGATACTTAAAACAAACCAAGTATCAAAGCGATACTTAAAACAAAACATAAAACAAAACCAAGTATCAAACGATACTTAAAACAAACTAAGTATCAAAGCGATACTTAAAACAAAACATAAAACAAAACCAATAACTTAGTACCTGTACCGGTTACAGTTTCCGCCGTAAGGTGTGAGCTGCCGTAGCGCACCGCAAGCATGTCAGTTGGCATAGCACTATCCCGAGAGGTCCCCTACCATCCCCAGAGGATCAGAGTCACTATATCGTCACAACCCCCACTGTGGGCGACGATCGCAATTTTCTTCTCCCTACTTGGCAAGTCATCCGTGCCGGTCATCATCGTTTGGGCAATACCGGGGCCCCGGCGGATGTTATAACATCAGAGTTCGAGGAGCGCAAGCGTCTACGTTATCATCCTATTACGAGTATTTGCCCGTGTGTTACCACACTGGTTCAGAGATTTGAAATGATATAGAATTAATGCAGTTATAGTTACATATCACCAATTATCATACCAAGACCCACCAAAACCACAATATAAGCTATGAGGAAACCATTTATGGCTTAGATTTGCATCATAAGACCTCAGAAAAGACAACATTTTTTGTTACACCAACTTGTCCACCATCCTTCGTTAACACCTTGACATTATATGAATTAGATGCTCGTGATAATGCCACATATAGCTGGCCATGAGTAAAGACATCATTCTCTAAAGAAATTCCAACCACATCTAATGATTGTCCTTGGCTTTTATTAATCGTCATTGCGAATGCTAATCGGAGAGGATACTGCCGTCGGTTAAGCTGGAAACCAAGATCACTGTCAGGATTACTGGTTATTTCGATTCGCGGGAGATAGGCTTTCTGTCCTTTGCATGTTCCTGTAAGAATAACTCCTCCAATCAAATTCCGTCCTAAGTGTGTAATTTGAAGCCTGGTACCATTACAGAGGCCATGAAGAGGACTGAGATTTCTTAGAAGTATAACGGTAGCTCCAATCTTAAGTGATAGGCGATGATATGGCATTCCGGATAGCGTAAGTGTATTTAAATACTCACTTGAGTAAAGTTCAGCAGCTCCTTCAGTAGCTGAATCAGCACTGAAGTATACTGTAGGCTCTCCAGGAAGAAGATCAAGCACCATATTATTAATATTGGCAACATCAATATTTTGTGGTGCTAAAATAGCTCTTTCTGCAAGATATTGAGGAGTTGGTGATATGCACTTAAGATCTCCATACACCTTGGTAATAAGTTCATCAATTCTATTATTAGGAAGTTGTAAGACCTCTGATAATTGAATTTTATCCAGGCCACATTCTGGGAATCGCTTTTCTCCAACTGCAAGAATGAGTTCTGCATACTCTGTAGCATCCTTCTGTTGTTCTGCTG